ATAAAACACTGTAAATAAAAGATAGTGTTTGATATTAATTCACATTAAAGCAGACTCAATTAAAAATGGCCACTTAGCTGAGGAGCCTCTAAAATGATTACTGGATTCCATTAAACAACTAAAACGGTTTCTCCAGGCTGGAGAAATCATATTGAAACAATACTGGATTAATGAGCTTCCTTAAATGTACTTTGACTTGTAAATTATAGAAGTAGTGACATTATTACTTAAAGTGCTTTACATTGAAACAGATGAGAGTTCATTACATAGAATGTACAGACAGTGAATGTAACTCTGGGTGGGTTTGGACTGCAAAAAGAATTTGTCCAGGAAGACAACTTTTTGGACACTAAGCACTGTATTTCTCTGGGATTAAAATATCTTGTAATCTAGTGGTTCCCAACCCTGGCCCTCAAACATGATCCTCCATATTTTAGATCTCTCTCTGCTTGGTCACCATCTGTGCATGGATAGGGGATTTACAAGCTTCTGAAGAGCAGTGAAACACCTAAAACATGCAGAATAGTGTTCTTTGAAGATCAGAGTTGGGAACTACTTGCCTTACCAGTTTTTCCTTATGGTGAACAAATTGTCCTGTTCTCATTCTAAACAAGTTAAATGTCACTTGTTGAATTAACATATTTCAAACAGCTGAAACAAGAAGATTAAAAAGTTATATGTTTTTAATGATCCTACATTTTGTGGGTGGTTTTAGTGAAGCAGAGCGTTAGATGAAAAATGTCATTTCAACCAAAAGTTTGTGAAAGTGAACTGAAACCTTTGCTGTTTATACTGTACCTCCAGCTCGTACTGCTGAGTGCAGCAAGCGGTTGTGGCATACCTTATTTTAATGACAGCGCAGAAAAACATGCAAAACATAATGAGTTTAATATGTCCAAGTGCTGTTTTGTTAAAAATGAAGTGTGCTTGCCTCTACACAGGTTCAGCGTATAAACCTGGAGCTGACTAACGGTCTGTTTTAATGGAGCTGGTTTAAAAGCAGACTGGGAAGCACTGACGACAAAATTTTGTGATGACAGTCCCTCTGAATCACAGTAAGGTTGTAAATCTGAAGCATTAACTTGGTTAACTCTGGTTAGCTGCTTGTTTCACCAGAAGATCTGAGTGGAGCAGATCAGTTGATTTTGTCTAGTAAATCTGAACAATCATATAATGGAGAGTTTTTACTCATAAATATTCATCTTTAGTTTGAAGCTGAAAGTTACAATCCAAGAAAAGGAAACTTCAAAGTAAAAGCCATGTTGTGTAGATAGACTTTAAGTAAATAAATTTATTT